TTAAAAAAAAAAAAAACAACATAATATAGGAAAAAGAATGTGCCCTTGAAAAAAAAAAAAGGAAATTACTACAAAAAGAAAAGAAAAAGAAAAGAAAAAAGAAGTTACCAGTCACTGTTGCAAAGAAAATTTCTTTTGATTGAGGGTGAAAATTAATCTTACCTGTGGACATAAGGATAATAATTATTCTCAAGTTGTAAATCCACTACATGGACATCAGAAACATTCCTCTGTAGCAACAGAATAATGGGAACTAATCTTAGTTTTCAGAGGAATGGTTCAGGTGTCATCTATAAAGAAGTCACTTTTCTTCAAAGATGTAGATTTTTCATACTTGAAAATAAGATAACAGCATATGTTACCTGCCTCTTTCATGAGGTGAGGTGATGTAGTTGGGTCTTCTATCTATCGGTTGCTTTCATTGGTTAATTAATAAAGAAAACTGCTTGGCCTGATAGGTCAGAACATAGGTAGGTGGGGAAGACAGAACAGAATTGTGGGAGAGAGAAGGCAGTGAAGCAATCATCATGCCTCTCCTCTCCAAGACGCAGGTTAAGATCTTTCCTGATAAGCCACCACCTCATGGTGCTACACAGATTATTAAATATGGGTTAAAGCAAGATGTGAGAATTAGCCAATAGGAGGCTGAAACTAATGGGCCAGGGCAGTGTTTAAATGAATACAATTTGTGTGTTGTTATTTCCGGTAAAGCTAGCCAGGAGCCAGGCCATAGCCCACCACTCTTATCACTAGAGTGAGGGAAGCACGGTACCATAATGGTCTCATCAGAACATCACACTCTAAAATATGGCTAACATGCCCAAATTTTACACTAGTTGATGTGTTAAAAACCTTAACCTCACTCTTTAAAGATCACTTCATCATCTTTGAAATACAGAATAAAGAAACAAATACAAGGTCCATAGATGAGTATAATCTATACCATAAAATACACACACAGGAAAAGAAACACATTGTTTCCAAAATTGAAATGCAATTCTTTGAAATAGCAGTCCTTAGAATTATAACTAGGAGAATGTTTTAGGGAAATATACAAAGAAATTTGTATATCGCAATGAAAAAAACAAAGTAATAGCAAAGACTTTCAAATGGAGTGAAGCAGTTCATTCAGTAAATCTACCTTACTCATCACAGTCTAGAATATGCAGTGACGGTTATGATCTACAGTAGTCTTTTTAACATATAATTCCTTATATCTTGAGGAAAGCTGAGCTCAGTTGATAAGTAGGAGCACAAAGTATTAAGTGATTAAAGATCACATTTTATCTATAAGACACAGTTTTGTTGTGCCCTTCAGTGTTTCTTTACAGCTAGCATTATAATGAGATCAATTAACCTGAACATTCCTCTGGCTAAAAATATTTTCCAAATATGTAGAAAATACCCTTGTGGGTCGGTATATGATAGAATGTGGAAATGTCAGAACAAATACCTGACTATTCTTCCAGCTGTAGTTTTATAAATATTTCACAGCATGAAAATAAGACAACAGCATGCTGACTCCATTACAGAAAATTTTACTACTATGTGGGCTAACATAATGAGATTATCACACTCTGTCACTTGGCTATGAACACCAAAGGTCGCCAGCACCCTGTTCTGCTTTAGATCCCTGGAAAGTATAAAAGTTCCTGTGAGTATTTGTTCACTCTGACTTCAATAATTTCTCTCTCTCTCTCTCTCTCTCTCTCTCTCTCTCTCTCTCTCTCTCTCTCTCTCTTTCTCCTCTTCAGTAAATTTCTCCTTGGATGAGAATCTAGCACATATTTCTGGAACGTTTATAGGAGATGAGAAAAGGCCTATGAGAAATAAAGCGGCTTTAGTATTTTGAAGGTGTTCTAGTTCTTATAGATTGTTGGTGGCTATGAAAACCCCACACCCAAAAGATCAATGATTTCTGAATTTCTTTACTCTAAATGCTATCTATCTACTAAATAGGAAATGTAAATGTAAGAGTTTTCTAGGCCAACACTAGATCATCAATGATGTTAAGACAGGTGGTGTATTTCCTAACCAGTGTTGGGTTTTAGATGCTCAGATTTTTACCCACTGAAAGATGCCATGAGGGATTGTTTGTACAAAGTTAATTGATGTGTAAAAGATCACACCGAACATGGGCGAGATCATTCAGTTTGCTATGGTAGAAACAGCACTATTAAGTACCTGCTTGCCATGTAGGATTGTGTGGTATATCTTTAATATGCTTAATGCTGTAATATGCCAAAACAACTGTTTCATTTTACTAAAGACATATGTAGGCTTATTTTCAGCCTTACTTTGTACAGGTATCCCCATGATGGCCGTAACTGCTAATAAATGTGTTATTACATAGTCAGCAACAGTCAGTGGCAACTCTTCTTGTATTGAATACATTTTTTAACTTAAATCTTCCACAAGATTCATTATCCACATATACAATGGAACAAGTTATCCAAAGAAGGGACTGTATCAGCTGTGCCTAATACTGTGACCCAGTTAGAGAATCCTTCCTGTCAGATGCTGGGAGGTGAGATCAGGTTTGACATCTCTGAAAAGTAGAAATGGTCTGGATTTAAAGAGCAATGGGGGAGAAAGGCTTAGCTAAAATCTTGGCAATTGGGTTTGAGGGGGTAAACTGACTGGAAGAAACTACAGAAAAAGCCATCATAGGATTCATAGCATTTGTTGTGATCCTATATTTTATATTTTTATTCTTTATTCCTACCAGTATCAAATTTACTCATATATGCCTTTATTTTATTTTTGGATTTTTTATATCCTTTCTTTTTATCACATACTTTCCCTGTTATTCTTTCCCTCATTCTCTTGTCTTATTTGTACTTGCCTGTTTCTTTTGCCTTTGTCTTGATCTGCCAATATAATTTCATTGTGTTTTATAATAATAAAGAAAAATAAAATCCCTAATATGTATAGAAAAATAAAGGAAAACAATATGTAAATCAATCAGGAAAATTACCCATACATTTAAAGGAATCAGCACATTACTCTCCATAACAACTAACTGTGAATGTTTTTAATTCACTAGTTAAAATATATAGGATGGTATTTTAAATTTTAAAAACTGATGAATAGGTAACAGGGAGTATAATACAATGTAGACAATAATGTTATGCTATTTCCAGGGGGGGAAATGGGTGGAACTTGAAATTTTCATGTTAAGTGAAAGGCACAGGTCTCAAAACCATAAATATTGCATTGCTCACTCATAAGATGAACATATGCATGAGAATAGAATGGAGACAATAGGGAAGATGGAGGGTCAAGGGATAATGGTGAGAAGGTCAAAGACTACTGGGAACAATATGAGAAGTGACCAATGATATACATGCCTGAAAATGTCACAGTAATCCACAATACTGTACAACAATTTTAAAAATTTAGAGGGAAAAAAAGACTATAGTCCTTTTTTGGTAAGGTAATAAAAATGAGAGGTCAGAAATATACAAGCTTTTGCACTGCCTCTCTGAGCTATAACAGAAGTAGCAACAGAATAATTAATCCTTCAGTGAAGAGAGGTCAGGGAGGCATCACATACTTGTTTGTTTGATCTCCCATAGAGACCTCCTGGACATTACTGTCATGAATGATCATTTCATTATTACTCTTCAGGTATAATAATTTCTCAACCTTGTCCAAAACATCTGGAATTCTTTCCTTCTGCTTGTCTGCTTCATTAGTAATGCTGCTGACTCTATTTTGCTGGATTTTTTCAGCGATTTACTTCAGTTCTTTGTATATTTTGGAGATCAGTCCTATGTCTGATGTAGTGTTGGTGAAGATCTTTTCCCATTCTGAAGGCTATCATTTTGTCTTGTTGACCACGTCCTTTGCTTTACAGAAGCTTTTCAGTTTCAGGAGTTCCCATTTATTAATTGTTTCTCTCACTGTCTGTGCTACTACGGTTATAGTTAGGAAGTGGTCTCCTGTGCCAATGCATTCAATTGTACTTCCCACTTTCTCTTCTATAAGGTTCAGTGTGGCTGGATTTATGTTGAAGTCTTTAGTCCATTTGGACATGAGTTTTGTGCATGTGATAGATATGGATCTATTTTCATTCTTCTACAAGTTAATATTCAGTTCTGCCAGAAATATTTGTTCAATATGCTTTCTTTTTCCCATTTTATATTCAGTGCTGTTTAAAGAGTTGCACATCTGCCAGAACCAGGGCTTCTTGAATGTTGATAAAGCAACCTATGTTCATCAAGGGACTTCATTTTTAATTACTTAAATTTTTATGTGTTCATTTAAATATTTATTTTACCACCTGCCACAGTTTCCCTTCCTTCCTGTTAACTCAGTCCTTCCCATTCTTTCTCTGCTCCGAACCCCATCCATTCTTTTGCAGGTTCTCTTCAGAGGAAGGCAAAACTCCCATGGAAATCAACAAAACAATATACATGAAGTTGATGGTTCACTGCATTCCAGTATGAGCATAAGTGTCCCAAAAGCTGAAAGTAATCAGAGACAGTCCCTGCTCCAACTATTAAAAGAAGACCAAGCTAAACAACTATAACATATATGCTGAGGGCCTAGGTCAGTCACATGCAGGCCCCTGGTGGTTGGGATGGTTTCTGTGAGCCTCTATGAGCCCAGGTTACTTAATTCTGTGGGTTCTCTTATTGTGTCCAGCTAGGGATTTCTAGCACCCCACGGAGTTTTCTTCTCCATCACCCATGAACTTAGTTACTCAGAGCTGTGTAGACAGATGTTGACTGACATTGTTTCTCATTCTAACAATGTTTCAAAAATCATCTGCTGCCCTCCATATTTCCTGAGAATAAAATTTTTCTTGACATCTGTAGGTCTCCTAGTGCCAAGAAATCAAAAGGTAGTTGACATTAAATCCAATAAGAGGAAAAAACAGGGGTGTTTGCTCAGTAATAATCGATGACATCACATCTCCACTTCTATCAGTAGAGTTCTCCTCCTTGGCCATATAAATGCATGCTCCCCTTCAGGGCTCTCTACCTTTGGCCACCATGAGTGCCCTCCTGATCCTCGCCCTTCTGGGAGCTGCTGGTGAGTTTCATGCCATGTCTGGTCCTACTTTTCTAATTACTTAGAAAATGTGGAATTCTACTGCGCCACTACATTTACTACAATTTTCTGTTGTTCATCTTCTTTTCCAGCATTCTATTTTCAACTTTTGTAATCTCTCAAACTTCAATTTAACCTATCTACCTCAATGCAGTCTCAACAACATCCTTTATTGAATTCAGGCCCTTGACTACTGAGATATGAATGGGAGGCCAAATTGAGGGTGCCTAAAGTGATCCGGGAAACAAATTTCTCAAGAGCAGCTGAACTGATAAAATAATAATTACACAGGGAATGAATTACACAGGGAAGAGAGCAAGGAGTTAGGCAAATGACATGTAATAAGATCCCATGAACATGCTCTTCAGTAAATTCTTCTATCCTTTAACTGAAACACATGAAAAATTCTGAGCCCACCAGGATCTGTTTACCTGCCCTGCATTTTCCCCTGGCAGATATTGAACACTAGTGCTGACTACTGTGAGCGTTCTCCCCTGCTTCCTCTTAGGCATTCTGCTCAGAAAGTAATACTAGAAGAGTGGAAAAGCTGGTTTGATATAAAGCAATCCACCCTCCAACATCATGATGAATGTTATTCATCTTTTCATCTCCTCTATAAATGTTTTCCCTGCTGAGACTATAAGGCCAAAATTCCAGTGGCATAAGCAAGTAATAAATGGAAAAGTAAACCAGGCCATGAGCAAAACTGATTTCTAGTGGGATCCCATTCAATGTGTTCTTGGTAGTTGTTTCTGTCCCAACCCTGATCCTGAGAAGTGATTGAGCTCTGTTGGCACTACCTATCTGTCCTGCAGATCCTAATATTGAGAAACGCTAAAATCTGTGTTACCTATTGGAGACAGAGTGATTCCAGTTTTTCTACAGTCATTGTGCTCAGGAAGAAATCCTAATGGTATAAGCTACCATAGAGCCAATGGACTCACTTTCAGTCACCATGATGAAATATTATTTCTTATTTCCTATCTCCATCAAGTTGCATTTCCTGTTGATGATGATGACAAGATTGTTGGAGGCTACACCTGCCAGAAGAATTCTGTCCCCTACCAGGTGTCTCTGAACACTGGTTACCACTTGTGTGGAGGCTCCCTCATCAATGACCAATGGGTGGTGTCTGCAGCTCATTGCTACAAGTCGTAAGTGATGATTTCCAGACTGCATTGCTCCAAGAGTGGGGTATCTTTACACCAGGCATCTGTATGAGCAGGTGACGAGTGCTGTAGGAAAATGTGAAACGTGAATGTGAGATGGGAAAGAAAGGAAGTGCTGACAGCGTCTGATGATCATAGTCTTTGATGAACACTGACACATAATAGGATGATCAACACCACATACATACCTGCACACACACACAAACACACACACACACACACTCACACAGAGTTAAAGTTGAAATAATAGTACATCTTGAAAGGAAGGAAGACTTATTTTCTCGTCTTACAATCCCATGAGGCAGTTGCCAAAGTTCATTCACAAATATTCCCTGTGTCCTATATCAAGAAATGGTAATTACGGTTTTCAAAAACATTGCTGAAAATGACTTTATCTTTCATTTTCTTCTCCTCTTGATTATACACTATTAGATCGTGACTAATACTGTTTCCGCTATAGACTCTAAATATTGAGTTTGAGTAATAAGGATAAAGAGGAGTTATTACAACATGATCTATAAAAACCTCATAATGTACAGTATGACTCATTAGCTTTGAAACTGGGATCAAGGGAATGAATCCCTCACAAGGCCTCAAAATCTTACTGTGAACCATTAAATATCACATTTTGAGGTGTCTTGGTCAAATGCAATAGGACAAAAGTCCTATCAAAAGGAAATGATAATAAAAAGTTCCTTGTGCCAGGCAAAGTTGGCACATGCCTTTAATCTCAGCACTCAGTAGGAAGAAGCAGGTGGATCTCTGTAAATTCAAGGCCAGCCTGGTCTAAAAGAGCCAATTCTAGGACAGGCAACAAAGATACACAGAGAAACCCTTTCAAAAATAAACTAAAATAAATAAATGAATAGGAAGAAAGAAAAGAAGAAAAGAAAAAAGTTCCCATATGTAGTTAACAAGGACACAGTGAATGAAGGTTTCAAATAACTCCTTAGCTTGGGATATTTTGGGTATATGAGAATGAGGGGCAGTCTACACCTGAAGTCCTTCAGCTCACATAAACCAAATCTTTCTGAAAACGAATGGGAGAGCAAGGCAAACAATATCCTATCCACCATCCAGGTTCTGTTCCTATGATAATACAGCAACATTTTGCATATAGCTTCAGAGCCAGACAATAGTGAGAAGCTTAAAAACTTGTGATATCTACAGTCATAGAGGAAAAGAGTCTAGCGCGCCTCTCTTTCAACAGCCGCATCCAAGTGAGGCTGGGAGAGCACAACATCAATGTCCTTGAGGGCGATGAGCAGTTCATCACTGCTGCCAAGATCATCAAGCACCCCGACTACGTGAAGAAGACCAAGAACAATGACATCATGCTGATCAAGCTCTCTTCGCCTGTGACCCTCAATGCCCGAGTGGCTACTTTAGCTCTGCCCACCTCCTGTGCACCTGCTGGCACTCAGTGCCTCATATCTGGATGGGGCAACACCCTCAGTTTCGGTGGTGAGTAGAACCAGTCACCTTCTATTTCTACTTTTATACCCTCTGCAATATCCTGCATCTCTAGAATTATCCCAGTGGCTTCTAGACTGCAAATTCATTGCAACTGCACAGTACATACAGGTTCTGGAACAAATCTAGGAGGAATTTTACAAGAAATACACTGATTCCCCAGGTTGCTGTCAAGGCACATGCAGAATGTGCTCTTACTCTTTCAGAAAAGGTATCAGCAGTGAATATTGTGGAAACAATAAGCCAAAGTTCCCAAATGAACCATACTAACATAGGGCACACTCTATTGCTTTTGAGTTGTTTCATACCTGGATTGGTGTCTGGATACAGTAGTCTTCAATATTTTCTATTCCTCACAGTCAATAAACCAGATCTCCTCCAGTGCCTAAATGCCCCACTGCTGACTCAGGCTGAGTGTGAAGCCTCCTATCCTGGAAAGATCACTGATAACATGGTCTGTGCTGGATTTCTTAAGGGAGGCAAGGATTCTTGCCAGGTGAGTGATTCCCTTCCCTTCTTCAGACTGGGAGTGGTGTTTCAAAGCAGAGTGGTTGTAGGCAGCACATTTTCTGTGGTGGATTGTGGAGAATGAGGAGGTCCACTCTGAATGTCAACACAGTAGTGAGGATAGCAGACAGACTGCAAAGAAACAAAATGCACCAAGTGAGAAGAAACAGGTATTTTCGGGTTCAGAATATACACAGCCCTATTTCACATGCCTTTACCCATGTACTGTGTTCCTCCCTTCTAGGGTGACTCTGGTGGTCCTTTGGTCTGCAATGGAGAGCTCCAGGGTATCGTCTCCTGGGGTTTGGGCTGTGCCTGGCCAGATAATCCTGGTGTGTACACCAAGGTCTGCAAGTATGTGGACTGGATTCAGGAGACTATTGCTGCCAACTAGAGATCCCCGATCCATCTGCAGTCACTATGCCAATAAAGTGAACTTTCCTCACTACCTGTGTTTCTGACTGATCTCTTTATCTCATTGGATTTGAAGCTTGCTTCTACTTGAGGTTATTCCTCTCTTCATTTGAGTGTTCTGAAGAGCATACTGTATTCCAAAGTAGATTGTATGTAATAACAGCATGTGAAGAGACAAAACTCCAGACAAGTTTTAAAACAAGCTATATGCCACCTTTGTTGTAGCATATGTTGCAGGCACAACACCATTTTAGATTGAATTTTAGGATGGTTTAATGTTTATATTTCTTTTTTGGTATAATTGAGAGTACATTTCTGTACCAAAGAGGCCAGCACTCAGGAACAAAGGTTCTAGGCAGGCAACAATTCAATTTCTCCATTTTTAATGCACTATGTATAGGTGTTGTCTTCAGCAATGGAACCTTGTTGTCAGTATGTTGAGAGCAATGTCTAATCTTGGCCCCAATATGGGTTCTTTAGGAATTCTATCATTTGTTTTTTTAAAGAGAGAGAAATATAACAAAAATCTGTGTGTTTAAGGAAATGGGGAGCTTCCAACCAGAATTGGGGGAAAGCAAACAAGAATCAAAATATACTCTATGAAGAACATTTTTTTTTTCAATTAAAAAGAGAAATTGTACCACAGATTTGCTTAAAAGGCCAGTCTATTCAAGGCAGCATCTGAGTGTCTAGAAGAGCACTTGTTTTACTTTAGTTTTAGCTTCCTGAGTGTAGCATCATGACCAAATCCAAACAACCACAAAAGCCAAATAGGGAAAGAAAGAATAGCTTTCCTTACTACTCCATGTTTTAGTCCATCATTTGGGGAGTTCAAGACCAGGTATTCAAATGAGCCACGATACGTTCATAAATCAGTATAACTTGATTATACAGGTTATTCTTGTGTTTTCTGATCTCAGTTACAATTTTCCATTCTCACACTGTTTGAAATCAATGGCTTATAACTTTGCGTAAGTTGCAATTTGATTTATTGATTTGGTCATTCTGACTGTTATAAGACTAAATCACAAAGTAGTTTTGAATTGCACTTCCCGAATGATGAAAGATGTATAGCATTTCTTTAAGTTCTTCTCAGTCATTTTGGTTTCTTCTTTTGTGAATTCTATATATATCTGCACCATATACTTTAATTGAAGTATTTGTTTTCTTGATATTCAATTTATTTATCTCTTCATGTATTTTTTTTTTATTTTAAGCCTTTATCAGCTGGAGTCATCATTGTGAATTCCTGGGAATTTTTCTAGAGCCTGGTTTCTTGCTAACCCCAAAATGGTTCCCTCAATGAAGATACTCCTTTCCGTACTCTCATATCTGTACTTAATTCATCTCAACTATCACATTCCTTCAAGCTCTTCCCAACCCTTTTCCTCTCCCCTCTTCTTCCCCTTCTCCCCTTCCTTCTACCCTGCCCCCATGCTCCCAAATTTTGTCAGGTGATCTTGTCTGCTTCCAATTTCCAAGTGGACTTATATATATATTTTTCTTTGTATACACCTTATTACTTAGCTTTTCTAGGATCATGAACTATAGACTCAATGTCCTTTGTTTATGGCAAGAATCCATTAATGAGTGAATACATACCTTATTCATATTTTTGTCTCTGGGCTACCTCACTCAGGATAGTGTTTTCTAATTCCATTCATTTGCATGCAAAATTCAAGGTATCTTGGTTTTTTGCCACTGAATAGTACTCTAATGTGTAGATGTGCCACACTTTCTTTATCCATTCTTCATTGAGGGACATCTAGGTTGTTTCCAGGTTGTGGCTATTACAAATAATGCTGCTATAAAACATAGTTGAATAAATGCTTTTGTAGTATGATTGAGCATCTTTTTGGTATATTCCCAAGAATGGTATTGCTGGATTCTGAGGTAGGTTGATTCCCAATTTTCTGAGAAACTGCCACACTGATTTCCAAAGTGGTTGCACAAGTTGGCATTCCCACCAGCAATAAATGAAAGTTCCCCTTACTCTAAATCCTCTCCATAATAAGCTGTCATTAATATTTTTGATTTTAGCCATTCTGACAGGTGTAAGATGGTATCAAAGTTGTTTTGATTTGCATTTATTTCTCTAATAGCTAAAGAAGTTGAACATGTCCTTAAGTAACTTTTGACCATTTAAAATTCTTCTGTTGAGAAATTTCTGATTAGTTCAGTACACCATTTTAATTGGGTTATTTAGAATTTAGATATCTAATTTCTTGAGTTCTTTGTATATTTTGGAGATCAGTCGTTTGTCTGATGTGGGGTTGGTGAAGATTTTCTCCCATTCAGTAGGCTGCCTTTTTGTCTTATTGACTGTGTCCTTTGCTTTACAGTAGCTTTTCAGGTTCAGGAGGTCCCATTTATTTATTGTTGCTCTTATTGTCTGTGTTACTGGCGTTATACTTAGGAAGTGGTCTCCTGTGTCCGTTCATTGAAGGCTACTTCCCATTTTCTCCTCTATCAGGTTCACTGAGGTTGCCAGAACTGGCCTTGCCCTGTAGTCAGACAGATGATTATCTTAAATATCACCATAGAACCTTCATCCAACAACAGGTGGAAACAAAGGGAGAGACTGACATCAGAGCACTGGACTGAGCTCCCAAGGTCCAGTTGAAGTTGGAGGCACTGGGATAATTCCAGAGATGTGGGAGATTGCAGAGTGGATAAAAAAGAAATAGTAGGAAACTTGTACTACTCACCATCAAAGCTGAGGGTGTTGCCACATCCAGATATAAGGCACTGAGTTACAGCAGGTGCACAGGAGGTGGGCAGAGCTAAAGTCGCCACTCGGGAACTGAGGGTCACAGGGGAAGAGAGCTTGATCAACATGATGTCATTTTTCAGGTTATTCCTCAAAAAGTAGGGATGCTTGATCTTGGTGGCAGTGTTGAACTGCTGATCACCCTCAAGAACATTGATGTTGTGTTCTCCCAGCCTAACTTAGATGCAGCTGTTGAAGGAGAGGCATGCTAGATTCTTCTCCTCCATGACTCAACTCTAGATATCACAAGTTTCTAAGCTCCTCACTCTTGTCTGGCACTCAAGTCTGTAAAAAAAATATTGCAGCAGTACCATAGGAGAAAAATCAGAATGATGGATAAGATGTTGTTTGGCTCACACTCTCATTCTTCTTCAGAGAGAGATGGTGTACAGTGGCTAAGGTGAAGGACTGCAGGTGTAAACTGCTCCTAATTCTATTTGCACAACATACTCAGGGCTAAGGGGCTAAGGAGTTACTTGAAACTCTCTTCATCCACTGTGTCCTTTTTAACTACACACAGGAACTTTTAATCATCATTTTCTTTTGAAAGAACTGTTATCCTGTTGCATTTCAACCACATTGATCAAAATGTGGTGTCTGAATCTTCATATATCATTCTGAGACCTTGTGAGAGGTTCATTCTCTTGATCCCAACTCCAATTCTAATGAGTGACAATCTCAATTATGAGGTTGTATAAACCATGTTGTAATAACTCCTCTTTATCTTTCTCACTCACACTCAGGATTGAGAGTCCTTAGTGGAAACAGTATCACTCATGGTCTAATTGCACATTAAAATAGGAGGAGAAGAATGAAAAATAAAGCCATTTTTACTTGTATTTTTGAAAATTTGAATTACTATTTCTTGATATGGGACCCAGGAAGTAGTTGTGAAAAAAAATTATCAGCTTCTTCATTGGTTTGTAAGATGAGAAAATAAACTTTCCTTCCTTCAAAATGCACTCTTCTAAAGAATGTAAACACAAGATGCTATCAGCACCTCATTTTTTATCATCTTTCTCTTTCTATTGCAATTTCACCTGTTGCTCATATACATACCTGGTGTAAAGATACCCCACTTTTTGAGCAATGCAGTCAGCACACCATGACTTACAACTTGTAGCAATGAGCTGCAGACACTCCATAGAAATGGTAGCCAGCATTTAGGGACACCTGGTATGGAATGAAATTCTTCTGGCAGGTGTAACCTCCAATGATCATGTCATCAGCATCAAAAGGAAAAGAAACGAGTGGAGATAGGAAATGACATTTCATCAGGAGACTTTAGAGTGAAGCCATTGGCTCTATGGTAGCTTAAACCCTTAGGATTTCTTACTGAGCACAATGACTGTAGGAAAACTGGGATTACTCTGTCTCCAATAGGAAATAGATTGTATGGTTTCCCAATATTGGGATCTGTAGTTCCTAAAAAGCTCAAACCGCTTGTGAGAGCAAGAACTACCTAAGAACACACTGAGTGGGATCCCATTAGAAGCCAGTTTTGTCCATGGCTTGCTTTACTTTTCCATCTATCACTTGTTTGTGCCACTGGAATGTTGACTTTTTTGAGTCTCAGCAGGAAAGCAACTATAGAGAATTTAGAAAGAAGAATAACATTCATCATGTTGTTGAATTATCATATCACCTCGCACTTTTTTAGTATTACTTTCTTAGCAGAATGATTAAGAGAAAGTAGGGAGAACACAGTCCCCAGCAGTCAGCACTAGGATTCAATATCTACCAGGAGAAAGGAATGCAGGCCAGGTAATTAGATCCTGTTGGGCTCAGAATTCTCGAAGAGTTCTGGGAAAAGGATGGAAGAAAGGACCTTAGACCATGTTCATGGGGTCTGATTACATGTCACTTACTTAATGCATTGTCTGCATCCCTCTGCAATTCTTCAATAATTATGTTGTTTTATTACCAGTTCACTAGCTCCTAGGAAATTGTCTCCTTGTTTAATTTATGCACCCTCAATTTGGCTTCTCATTTAGCCTCAGTAATCACTGCCCTTAAGCCAACAATGCAGGGTGTAGAGACTGCATTGAAGTGAGATAGTTGAAACTGAAGTTTGAGAGACTGCAAAATCTAAAAATAGGATGATGGAGAAAGAATATGAACATCAGAAAAATAGTAAAGGTATCAGTGAAGTAGGAGTCTGTGTTTTCTAATTGATTAGAAAAGTAAGGCCGACATGGCCTGAAACTCGC